AAATACAAGGCTTCATGCATGCTAGGCCAGCTCTCTACCAACTAAGGTACAGTTCTGACTGTAGAACAGTCAGCTTTGTAAAGTCATGTGTAAGGAGATATGGCTGCAGGTAACAGGCTCGCAGAGTCTTGTCCCTGGGCCAGCAGCATGGGATGGCAACTTGCACATTCTAAGATTCTCCCAAATCTAGTGAAACAGAATCTTTATGTATGGGTCACAGGCTCTGGATTTTTACAAAGACCCCCTAGGTCTTTCTGATACCTGTTGAAGCCTTTAGGGCCAGCACTCGGGGAACAGCACATGTAGGCAACAAGCATGAAGCCTCAGACTAGGAGTTACATACTGCAGTGAAAGCATGCAGCAGCAATGGAAAAGTATAAGTAGGGCTGTTATTTGCTTTACAGATATTAAATATTCACTCTTGTGTGCCTGATCCTTCCTATCCCCTGGACTGTGGCCTTCTAGGCACTGGCAGCTGTCATAGTTGGACATAGCCAGCTAAGCCCAGAGAACTGAGGGACTAAGAGTGCCTAATCGGCTCTAATTAGGATGGTTGATTTTTCTGATATTATAAATTTGGAGTCTTCAACCAGGAGGGACTGATATAAAATATATGTAGGGGTAAGAGTGATTTAATGAGTAAAGCACTTGACATTGAGGATCAATGGGTCCCAAGAAGCCACGCAAGGTCACAGGGGGTATCATGTGCTCCTTTCTGCATAGGAGGTGGAGACAGGAGGATTCCTGGAAGATTGCATGATTTACACAAGATATTCTATTTCAAACAAAGTGGAAGGTGAGAACCAAGACACAAAGTTGTTCATGACCTCCGTGCACTAACACCTGTTTACATGTACTAACACAGACACACACACACACACACACACACACACACACAGAGAGAGAGAGAGAGAGAGAGAGAGAGAGAGAGAGAGAGCGAGAGAGAGAGAGAGCGAGAGAGAGAGAGAGAATAGTACTTCATAGAGAGAAATGAGGTAATAAAATAGTTATGCTATCACATCTTCTTCAGATAGCTGCTACAGGTGAGAGTAACACTGAAGATGAGCGGAGCTGAAGGATATGGGAAATAAATAGGGACTAGGGACACTGCTCAACTCTACCCAGTCTCGTTAAGGAGGAGAAATGGACAAAGGTAGTTGTCATCGTAAACCTATGGTAACCAGTGGGGAAAGCTGAGCCATCAACTGGATACCTTTGATGAACTTTAGATGTCAGGTTCCAAAACAACAAAGAATAGACACAAATGAATACTATTAAAGCCCACAAGCATTTTAACTTTCCATTTGGATTTTAATTATAAACAAACTCAGTGAGGGAGAAAGGTCAGGGGATGAAAATGCATCAGTTTCTTTGTGCTGGAATGTGTTTAATGTATGCAGCTTTTGAAGAGACCTATGAAAATACCTGAAATTTACAGATTATGATCAGTATAATAAAAACTATGTTATCTGATTTCTAATATTAGCAAGCAGTACAGAAGCTCAAGAGGAATGTCTAGCTAGCCAAATCCATTTAACTTTGTTTCAACAAGCATTCTTTTTCACCCCACCCCTGTGCCAGTCTGTGGAGGTCATGCCTGAAGGAAACAAACGTTCGCAGCGGGCAGGCCACTAATGTAGATCTCTGTGTGTCTGAGAGCACACAGGAAACAGTGGCTAGTTGCCTGCTGGCTGAAGGGACAGCTTCCTGGTTGTGAGACTGATTGAGCCATGTCTTCAAGATCAGTAGGACTTGTATTTGGTTCTGGCCAAGGGGAAACTACATCACAAGAGGAATTGAAAATGAAGCCTCTGAACTGCCTGTTGAAGAACCAGAGAGGCGTTAGAAGTACGCAGAGTCTTATAGTAAAAGTTTGAATGTTTGTAGGGATTAGGAGTTTGTAGTGTCTTGCCAGGTGGTGGTGGCACACACCTTTAATCCCAGTACTTGGGAGGCAGAGGCAAGCAGATATCAGTGAGTTCAAGGCCAGCCTGGTCTACAAAGTGAGTTCCAGGACAGCCAGGACTGTTTCACAGAGAAACTTTGTTTTAAAAACCAAAAAGAAAAAAAAGGGAGTTTGTAGTGTCTGAAAGTGGGTTAACTGAGATAGACTTCAAGAGGGTTGCTGTGCTTGCTGGGGAGTGAGCTTAGGAGGAAGGTAGAGCTAAGCTGCTGTGACCCCCCCCCCTTCCCTCCTCAGAAGTGTCCTGAAGAGGACACCTGGTGCTCACTGTAGTGGATTCTGTAAATTCCAGGTCACCTGAGACTTGGAAGCAGATGGCAGATCAGAAGACGCTTCTGTGCGGGTGTCCAGGGTCCTCTGCCACCTGGAAGATGAAACCCTGATTATTTGGGCTCAGTAAGATTCACAGAAATAATAGACAGTGAAGAGCTTTAGTAGAGCTGGTGACCAGGACTCTCACAGGGAAACCGAGTCTACAACTGTGCCCACTGGTATTAATTCATTGATTTTGTGACTTTGTCATTCACTGTGGTCATTGCCTTGGAAGGAAAGATACAGGTCTGCTCTCGATTGATTAATGCCAGCGGTCAAATCTAATCAGGCAAATATTATAGGATGTTCTTTCGCTCCAAAGTCTAGTTGCAAAAATGTAAGAAAGGAAAGACTTGGCTTTGTAGGAAAAGAATAAAAACACAAAGAGATTTTACTTACCAGCTCGGTATGAGTCAACAGTATAATATAATTCAGTCCTGGGATTGCGTGCTTGGGAAACATAAAATAATGGTTAGTGTTCTAGGTTGGCAAGGTAATTTTTTTCTTATGGTGGATGAATATTGTTTGGATATTTAACTAAGCCTACTCCGGAAAATACAGGGCAGCATTCTTAAACATAAAAGTCAAGAGTGTGTTAAAGGGTCCCTCAGGAGGTGTAAGAATGGCTGAGACTCCCAGGAGCTTTCGTTTGGGAAGGCTACGCTGCTCAGTGTTTGGTGTATCAGAACTAAAACTGAGACATTTTTAAGGGTTTTTTTTTCCTCTTCTGTTTTTGTTTTTCAAGACAGGGTTTCTCTATGCACCCTTGGCTGTCGTGAAACTCGATCTGTAGACTAAACTGGCCTCATACTCACAGAGATCCACCTGCCTCTGCCTCTCAAGTGCTGGAATTAAAGGTGTGCACCACTACTTCCCAGCTAAGAACGTTTATTTTTAAATGAACTTTAAAATCATAATGATAAACTTATTACACGCTGGGGTTTTGCCCCTCACAGTTAGTGAGAGGGAAAGTGCGTGCTCTGCCTTTGCTACAGCTCCTGAAAGTCTCTCTAACGAAAGAGTTAGACTCCCACATCTGCTCCCACGTTTAGTTTGCTGTGATGTCACCCAGAGCAGGGAAGGGAGTCTGGGATGGCTCTGCAGCTCATTCTACATCTTCCTATCACTGATCCCAGACTCCACAGGCAACCGTAGAAGCGTGGGTGCGGGTGGGTCTGAAGACATCAGGGAATCTTCCACACTTTTTCACATGGAAGTTGAGAAGTCTGTCTTCCCCTTGTGTGAGTCTGTGTCACCAGACATTTGGCATTTGGAAAGTGCTGGTTCACTACATTATTCAGAACCCAAATGTGGACACAGTTGTCCAAGTGTATTTGTTACTACTGCCTCAGCAGGGACGGCTCTCAGTGCTGCAGCCTATCAGTGGCTTACAGTGCTGGTGCAAGTTTCTAAAACTGTAGTGTTTGCATGAGAGTCTCAACTCTATCACTGGAAGTAAATGCTGTCCTTTATTTCTCCAAAAACACCACATTCACTTTCTTTCTATGACAGTGGCTACCTGATTCTCAAGTTTTGGTAACTGTAGATTGTCAGCCATTTAAGTAAGAATGGTGCCCATGACATGGAAGCAGCAGCCAGAGCTGTGTGGTGTGAGCCCTGTATTAGTAAGTCTACTTTTTAATGGAGATTACTGTAGGCACTTGAAGAACAAATGAGATAGTTACATTATAGTTAAATAATCTAATCACTAACTTAATTAGGATTAGGTAGTATTTTTGCTTCATGAAATTTGAAAACCTACATTGACAATTTATTTTCTAAAAAGGGATGTAAAATAATTTATAAATAACATACACATTTCGGAAAAGAAATGTATAGGAATAATGAAATACATATGCATTTGAGATATTCTTTTTCAAAGTGCATTGCTATTCTTTTCCTGATGTATGCCTGTGTGAAGGTGTTGGATCCCTTATTACTGGAGTTACACAGAATTGTGAGCTGCCCATGTGGGTTCTGGGAATTGAACCTGGGTCATCTAGGAGAGAAATCGGTGCATTTAACCACTGAGCTATCTCCCTAGCCCCAAGATATTCTTAATGAAATGATTTTTTTTTCAAAGAGGAAACCTTACTAAATAATCATGGCCTACAAGATATCAATAATGGTTATGTTTAAATCAGTATAATTTTAAAATTTAACTTTTCTTCTCAATTATTGCTATTTTTCTATATTATAGCCATGTGTAGATAATGTTTTTTATAATTAGGATAATAAGAAAAAGTTAATTTACACTAAAAAGGAACTTTATGTTAGAAATTCAGGGTCAAAAAGAACTTTTTATAACAGAAATCATTTAATTCAACTTTGTTTGGTTAAGAAAATTTTTAGCATTGAATTTTTAACAAATTTATAAGGCAGCAAAGAATCTTCTCTTACATCAGGATCCATGTTCATAAAACTCAGACCCAGAATACTGAGGAGCTGCGGCAGCGACACAGTTGTTTCCTGTAGGAAGAAAGGATCTGGTCTATTAAAACTTGTTTGATTAGTTGGTTTAAGACTGTAGCTCAGGCTGGCCTAGAGCTCACTGTAGCCCAGGCTGGGTGCAGACTCACAACCATCTTCCTGCTTTGGTCCTCTGAATTCTGATTACAGGCATGAGCCATCTTGCCCGGTTCAGAACTTCATCTTTAAGCTGTTTCTTTCCTCGCCTGCCTTATTTGCCTGTCGATAGTACAGTGCTTCTGAAGCAGAGGGGTACTTTCAGACGGCATTTACGGATCCACCTTCTTTATAGCAACAGGCTTCCATGGTCTCCACGTAATCATCGGATCCACCTTCCTAATTATCTGCCTTCTCCGACAACTAAATTTCCACTTCACATCAAAACACCACTTTGGCTTTGAAGCAGCGGCATGGCCGGACGCCATGGTTAGAACATCCATGGTCCACTCGCATGGAAGGTGGCAGAGAGTGCAGGCTGTGTGTCCTTCATCCAGACATTCAGCATCCCCACTGCCCCCTTAGTGAAGTGAGGAAACTGAACAAATATCTAGGATTTCTTTCCCTTCAGTTTTTTTTCCCAATTCCATCTGGTGAGTTCTTTGCTTGAGCTTGAGTTTTTTCCTCACCATTCCAAGTATAATATAAAATATACAATGTCTGAGTTTTTAAAAAAGCATTATTTTCAAAATTTTGTTTAAATATTAGTTTTAATATAACACAAATTTATTATACTTTAGTGGCATTTCCCTTTTCATTTGTGGTACAATGTTGACATTTTCATCTTAAACTGTTTAAGTCCAGAATATCCAAGTCAGTAGCTTTTAACCTAATTTGATTGTACAACTGGGCAACTATTGCTTGTTTTGTGCCTTAAATTTCATGTTGGTCTTATTGGTTGCTAAATTCAGAAATTATTGAGAAAGAATAGCTCACTGCTAAGGTAATGAACTTCGTCTTGGTCTCTCTTCTTTTTCCCCTGAGAAGTCTGGCTATCACGTGGTTCTCCCCAAGTCTTCAGAGTGCTCTAGGCAGGTTCACTGTCCCTGCTGCTAAGGACTGCACACGGGTAACTGACCAGAAGCAGTGTATGGTCACATGAGTAAGCAGAGGTGCAGCGACAGGGCACTTTTCCCCCAGTTTCCTGGAGAGCACACGTGATCCCGCCACTTCTGCCATCATCCGCAGCTGCTCATTTTGAAGTTTAAGACTAAAGGCTAGGCACATGCTTGTATCTTTATAAAAACACGTATTGTTTTAAATTTTTGTTTTATCTCTTATAAAAATTAGTTTTATTCTTTTATTAGTTTTTGTTTGACTTTTTATTTGAGAATTTCATATGCATACTATGTTTATATCATTTCATGCCTCCTCCTCCTCTGTCCAACTTCTCCTGTGCCCCCCTACTCCTCAAATTCACACCTGTTATTTAATTATTATTGAAACACACACACACCCACAAACACACACACGAATTTATAAGTACAACCTGCTAAGGTCATTAAGGTTGCTCATTTGTATATATGTAGGGCTGAGTGGTTGAGATTAGGTCACCTATGGGGAGCCTCGTCCCTGGAGAAGACTGACTCTCCTTCCTCTGTAGTCGTCACTGGTCTGGCGCTCTTGATCTTCAGATAGAGCCCTGTGAGATTATCCATCCATTGTGGCAATAACACAACATGTAATGTCATTGCCTTAGTGTATGTTTGCCCACTAAATAGAAACATCTTTTTAAGTATCATATATACGTAACCAAATGTTTTGGATTTGTAAGCCTTCCTGGACGCACTCTCCCTTGTTGTTAAACTTGTCTATCTCGACTGTATGTCTCCTTTTGACTCTCTGCCACAACATTCCCTCCAGCCTCAGAGCTTCCCACAGACTTGGAGAGAGAATCCAGGGTGAGGAGTCAAGTGTATAACCCCTCCCCAGTATAGTTCCCATCTTCTACGTCATTTTGTGTTTTCAGTCCCCACTTGCTACACATCTGTCTACTCAGGGATGGACACTTTGCTTACAGTGCCCTAGAGCCTGAGCCCTTGATGAGATATGCAGGTAGGCTCATGGCTCCAGTGTGGAGGTGAAGTTCTCAGGTGTTGTGTCTAGAAGGACTGAGTCATCTTGACCATTTCCAAGTACGCGTGTTTCCTTACTAATGTCAGGGTTAAGAAAAGAAGCTTGCTGCCGTGGAAACAAGCCTGCTTTCAGTTATGGCTCGGACTAAAAACTGTACCAAATTCTGGACCCCGTGTTGATGTTGAGGGTGTGAAACACTTGAGCTGAAGACAGTGCTGGGAAAACAGGAACAAGGAACAGCTAAACTGTGTGAGTTTGGCATTACAAATTGTTATTTTATTTCCAGAGCTACACTAAAGAAAGATGATTTCAGATACAGTGTGTGTGGTGGTGTCTAGCCTGCCCACCTGTGTGAAAATATTTTCCATGTTCATAAAGAGCAGATACTTAAGAAAATAATTCACCATACAGTGAAGGGTGAGTCTCTCTCTCTCTCTCTCTCTCTCTCTCTCTCTCTCTCTCTCTGTGTGTGTGTGTGTGTGTGTGTGTGTGTGTGTGTGTGTTTCCAGAGCCTTGTACTTGAAATTACTAAACAGTAACCTCATCAAGTTGAAATTTAAATGAAATTTAAAGAAGAGACACCATGGCTTCCTAGCATGTGCCTCAACTTTAACTCTCTCCTGTGTATGTCCTAACTGGAGGTCACCTGAGCAGGTTATTCAGGCTCCACAAATCTCATCATTTGCATTCACAAAATAATGTGGATACAAGTACTTAGTATTGCCTCATAGAATTAGTGTAGTATTTAGTTACATAATGGATTTAAACATGGATAGTATGGCTGTTTAAGCAATCAGTATTAGCTCTTCTTGAGAAAAACACATGATTACATCATCAAGTGAAACCTGGGCAAGCAGTGATCCAAACTGAATCTCTGTTTCAGAGAATAATTTTTTTCTTTTAAAATACTTTGTAAGAGTTTTATACTCTACCAGTTGAGCTTAAAATACATTGTAATTCAGTAACCGGGAGCACTCTCCATGAAAAACCTAACCATTGTGTGAGTCAATAAGTTTCATGCTCTGCCCGCCTTCCTTTCCCTGGAAGAGACAGTAAAGGCAGCGCTTGGCTACTGAACACATTCGCCTTGCCTCGGTGCTAACCAAGTGTCTGTAGCCTTTCTCAAGCATAGTGTATTAAGCATTTTTTATATTAGTTATCCTAAAAGTAAGAACATTAGTAAGCTAGAAGCAGCAGTATTACAAATATCACATAGCTGCCCAGATTTGTGGTCCTTTTTAGGGTATTAATCCATCTGCTAGAAAACTGGGTCAGTTTTCAAATTAAATAGATTAGTGTAAAGGAGAGGGGAGGTCCCAGCTTTTTCACAGGAAGCATTTCTAAACATGGATTTTCCTAAAAAGATTTGGGAAGACTTGACTCTGTTCTTCCTCAGTCCAGGAAGGAGGTCAAGCGACCACTGAAAGAGAAGTGGCTGCACTTAGGCTTCAGGATTGCGTGAGGCTGAAGGCTTCTGGAAGTTTCCTCTTTCTGACAGGATTTCGAGTAACCTTTTCTGACTACCAGACATTTCTAGAACACACTGATTAGCAGGTGCTGACTGCATTTGATTATCCTTGGCACTTAGCTTCTTTATTTTCATCTCGTCTGATCAGAAAGCAACCTCCGGACGATTCTTCTAACACCGTGTGATTGGAATAATAACTTGGTGCGTTGGAGAGTTTTGGGCTGCAGCTGAGAGGCATGTAAATACAAGCTGCTTATTTGCAAGAAGCTTCCAGATTTGCAATATGATTGCTATGGAAACCACATAATGAAAACCTTATAACCATCTGTGTGGTTTGATGGATTTTACTGCATAGCTGAGCTGTTTTTGTTTACTGTTATTAAAATGTTGAATGGAATATATTAACCCACAAACATTGACTATTTGAGGTATTAATTAGTATTATAATGGCATTGTGCCTCAGCATGAAAATAAAATACGTTTAATAATAAATCTAAGTAAAATAACATGTGAACATATGTATTTCTAATATGGAGTGAAGGTAATTATTGCCTGGAATTTTGGTTATTCTTCTGCAGCTTTTAGTGGTGTGGGGAGGTTTTCTCGGTTAATAAGTGAACGTTAGAACGTTCCTGATTTGGACCCATTTGTTCACAGGATTTAGTCAGCACCTTCCTTTGTGCCAGGCTTCAGTCAATATTCATTGTGAATGTGCTCCTGTAGAATTAAAATCACTCAAAATTTGAGCTTGCCTTTTATGTGGAAGCTATTGGTATTGTTAGGCCAAGACGAATGAATTGTTGAATCTTATTAAGAAAACTTGACGGATGGCCTGCACAAGGCTTTCACCTAAAATGTCAGTCCAGCTTTGAAGCGCAGGCAGGCGGTGTCGCGGTTGAAGCGCAGGCAGGCGGTGTCGCGGGAGCTCCTCATGCTCCACAGCACTGCCTACAAGGTGACCTCACAGAGACTTTTCTGTAAATATTGGCACTCAAATATTTTAATGTCATTATTCTGATGATTTAATAATGCATTGTGTAGAGGCAAAGTTTTCCCACATCAGTACAACCCTTAGCATATACTATAGACACATTTTAATAAACAATAGATAAATTTGTGGTAATAAAATTCTTCAAATTTTATTACTAACTTTGCCAAGAACATTTTCCATTTAATTCTTACAGTTATTTTTATGGTATGTTGATGCTAGCGTTGGATGATGAGTCTAAATCCCAGTTTCTTCTTAAAAGTCAAAAGCAGTGCTTCCTACCCAGCTGTGTCTCTGTTTACCTAAGGACAAGTGCCCTTAGCATCTCTGCCCCTTGTGACCAGGCTGAAGAGAGTGGATATGAAGGAAAGAGGAAGGCCAGGCAAGCTCCAACTTTCACCTTTAAAAATAAATGTACCATCTGTGGAAAGAGGAGGTGGAATTAAGTGTGAATTTCTGCCTTTAGAGTTTATGTGAGAACACCCTATAAACAACCCGCTTGTGATAAGTAGTCCTTGAGCCTTAGCCAAAGTGAGATGACGGTTGTTAACAGAAGTGTCCCGTATTAAATTACCGAGGTTAACTCACAGTGAGCATGAAGACAAACAGTTCCAGCTGCTCCTTATTTTGGAGCTTTTATTATTTTGTCTGAGTTGAATTATATAAACTCAAACCACTTATATTTGACTTCTAAGCCCAGTAACTCTGCAGCTTGCTTTAAATCCTGGTGTTGATTAATCACTAGTTAAAGTGTACAGGAGACTTTCCTAGTACTTTATAGTTGCCCTTTTGTCGGTATTAACCCTATCCAGTTGCCAAACAACTCTTTGTTCTTCCCCGGGCAGCACAGATGATCTGGGTTAGTCTCATAGTGACGGC